AATGTTTGCTAATGTAAAAAGTGTGCATTAATTGTTGCAGGAGCCAGAATGTGTCACTGCCAGGCAAAACCGGTGGTATTGTCAGATGTGTTGCAACACCCTCTAAAGAGACTTGTAAGCCTTTATGTTAATGTTGTTTCCTAGTGCAAATTGCTTCACATTTTCTGGTGTTCTTCTGGTTTTTTTGGGGGTCAAAGGTGTTCTTATGTTGAATTGCCAAGTTGTATTAATGCAAATAGTAGACTGTGAGCCAGTGCAATATGGATCAATTAGAGCTTTTGAAAATTGTTATTTGAGAATTTTAAACTAATCAATGTTTGTGATTGCATATCTATTGCTTTTAACTCGATGAGAAGCAAAGTGAAGAGTCAAAACAATTGCTACGTGCACATGTTTAAAATAATTGTACAAAAAATTGTATTTTGATGATGATAAAAAGTAAACAACTGTCCATCTTAGTCTCACCTGTATCTGTCCATTCAAATAGATATGCAATTTCTTGAGATTTGACTGCGCTAACAAAATTCCTGTGTTGCCTGAAGCTTACAAGACAAAGGTCTCTCGCAATGAGAACTTAGCTAAACTTCAAGCTGGTTATCTTTTTCCTGAGGTCTGTATTTCAGATGGTACTTTTTTATTGAGTTGATTGTTGTTATCTGTTTATTGAAGCTACTTTGCAATTGAAAATGCTTCTTATATTGAATTAGCTGTAGGAGATTAGAGAAGAAGTTGGACACATTGCTTGGAATAAATTGGAGGCATTGCTTTTGTGCTCATGCAAACAAAAGATTAATTTAGATGATATAGCAGTAATATGGAATTATGATGAGACAACAAGCAGATTTAGTTCCCTGAAGCAAAATTATTTGCTATTTAAGCTGGATGTTGGTTGGCTGATTTTATACAGCCATTACCACTCTATGCTTCCATCTTGAAATAGGGGAAAGAAGACACTTTATAGTACACTAAAATACTTTAAGTCTTATTTTGTAGACATTCTCTCCTACTTAATAGGAGGAGTTAAGTTCTAAACAATCTCTCTTTGGTGAAGTTAGATCGCAAGAAGGAGATCTGCACACATGTTGAAACACCCTGATGCTCAAATTATAAGCCTTGGAATTGGTGACACTACTGAGCCCATTCCTGAATTCATAAGTTCTGCCATGGCACAGGTAATGCTGATAGCCTTGTTTGTGAATTTTGTAAAGACAGGATACAGTTTCTGATGTTCAGGGGTCATTTGACATCTCTATCACGCTTTAGTGTTTTGTTATCAGTCAAAGCTTCGAGTTTTGCTCTATTTCGTATCCTGTTTTGTTTGACCGATGATAGGATTACTGGCAAAAAATCATGTATCTGGTAACATTTGGTTTTATAATGAACATGTTTCTGGATATTTGTGTTGATAGAATTCAGCATGCCTACATGGACTGCCATTTAACTTCACGATTAGTTTCTATTTTTAATCTATTCTGCTTATTGAACTCTAAGTCGATAACCAACTTCCTGTTATTGATTTTGTTTTCTTTACTCTACTCATTGGCAGAGAGCACATGACCNCCATTTCTGTAATATGATATTTGTTCTATTGTTTATCGTCCATTTCTTAATTCTCTTCCTTTTTTTGCTACAAGAATAAATGGTATTTTGTATGCGCACTGATAGTTTGTCTTTCCTCTATTTATGCCTATTTCTTTGTTCATTTTGGATCTTCTTTCCTCAAATGCATTACTATTTTCTTTGTCCAGTGGTCCACGCGGTAGAAGTGAAAAACTTCCTCTTTTGTCATAATGTCTAAAAGGCATGCACAGCTGGAATTTCTGAAGCAACTAAAATCATTTCCGTATATTATATCAACAATAATCTATTACTGCTTTGTAATTAGCATTTATTGAACACTTTCTTGGTTTGCCCCAAGGTTTAAAAAAATAAAGCGAGAGTGAAATGACATGTTTCATGTTTCGCTATTTTCAAGTGGTTATTTTGGAGCCTAACTTTAAGATAGACATAAGAGAAAATTACTCTATGGTCACCGTATTTTTCGTTCGTAGCATTTAATCCGTGATTTAAGTGTAAAGTCAGCTGTCAGAATTAACGGCGTTGAATTTTTTCCGCATGAGCAGCAACTTAGAGCCTCCATTGCTTCTACCTTTTATGCAAATGTTGGAATAGAGGAAGATGAGATCTTCGTCTCTGATGGTGCCAAAAGTGATATATCTCGGCTTCAGGTTTGGTTTTCTCTGTATTAAGTGGTCTTTTCAAATTATAGCCGCTGTCTTTGAGTCTTTCGCTAACAGTTTTTTGTATTTCTTGACTGTATTGTAGGTTCTTTTTGGGTCTAATGTGACTATGGCTGTGCAAGACCCATCATATCCGGTAAAATTTTCAGGCTTTTACCTCTATTCTTCCCTATTTGACAAAAATGAAAAATGCCCATCCAGGATACCCTGCATATTGTTGATTTGCTATGTCTATTTTGTTAAATGATTTTTCATATCATTGTGAGATTTAAGTGAAATGGTACTTGTTTATAACTTAGCATGAATTTTTATACTCTTGTAAAGGCTATTGATACATCTTTTATTATTATCATTAAAGAATCTAATTGCAAATTTTCCTATTATTTGGTAGGCTCTTTATAGTCTTGTTGGATTACTTCTGGCTTTCTTTACCACGCCTTGGAGAAAGGCTCTCATATCTGATGATGCATGTAAGATTCTGACGTAAGCCTTGACTGTTGTTTCTACTGTAGGCTTATGTGGATTCAAGTGTTATTATGGGCCAAACTGGTCAGTTTCAGAAGGATGTGGAGAAGTATGGGAATATTGCGTACATGAGATGTACTCCAGAAAATGGGTTCTTTCCTGATTTATCCAGTGTTCCTCGGACAGATATTATATTTTTCTGTTCGCCTAATAATCCAACTGGTGCTGCGGCATCAAGGGAGCAGCTAACTAAATTGGTGCGATTTGCTAAAAGCAATGGCTCAATCCTTGTTTATGATTCCGCATATGCAATGTATATATGTGATGACAGTCCAAAGTCCATCTTTGAGATTCCTGGAGCCAAAGAGGTAAGTCTGGATCATGTTATTTGGTCAACATTAAGCTTTACGTTGTTTTCTTGTGAAAGCTTCTGCTATCATTTGTTCAGACCCTGTAGCATTAATGCTGTAGATGACTAAAACTCATAATGTCTGCATATCACTTTATTTGGTTGTTCTTTTTAATCCCATAACAATCGTCAGCTAGTTAGGGTCAGCATATGCATTCTCACTATTGATTTCGCTCCATTTGGACCTATTTCATTCTAGTATTCAATAATTTCCTTTTGATGTCAATCTTTTGCATTATGGTGGCTAAACTTGCAATGCATATACCCCTACTAATTCTAAAATTCGTATTCTCTAAAGTGCTCTCCATAGTTCAAACTTTCTGTTAACAACACCCTCACTAATTTCTCAATTAATTCAATATCGTTTGCAAATAACATACTAGGGGATCCAAAATGTAGTGTTAGGGCTATAGGCTCTAGTCCTTACATGTCTATTTTCCTCTTCAGTGAACCAACTAAAAATGGAACACAATTTGAAAAGTTTCCATCTTGGCTTGCTTCAGAAAGGGTAGAAAAGATAGCAACAAATTAGAATGCCATTGCAAATAGCCAAGACCTCATCCTGTATACTACCGGTTAGCTCATCCATAATGAGGATAAACAAGTACAGGCTCAATGCAGATCTTCATGGTTATGGAAAACTCTTTTGTATCTCCTACCACTATTCTCACACTTGTGCTGCTTTTTCGTACATATCCTCTATGACATTTTTATATTTTATATGGATTCCTTTTCTTCTACTTTCTCTTTCTAATCTTCACTGTGGAAAAGATGACATGAGCAGACTGTTCAATTGAGACTTTTAGCTGGTTTATTATCATTCATGCAATTTGTTAGGACCTTTCCTTCTAATTCATCTTCTTGTCCTGCTCCTTCGTTTATCTTTTGCCGTAGTTGAAGCTCATCAAACTAGTTTGAGAGTGATCTTCCAAGTCATCTTCTTCCCCTGCTCTTCAATGGCACTCTGTAGTAAGGTTATCTCAAGTCTATTCAACCCAAGTGCTTTTTATCCCTTGGTTAATTGCAGGGACTTTCTTCTGATCCTTCTTGCTCCCTCACATGTCTTTTTCTAGAAGTTACAGAGCTTCTTATAGAGTCGTCATATTTTCAGTTGACTTTTTTGTGCTGCTTTTTCTCCTTACCTCTGGTGTACAGAGTTTATTGCATGATTCTCTACATTAATAAGTGGATTCTTTCTAAGTGACTCAGTAAGCATAATGTACTGGACTTGCAGGTTGCCATTGAGGTTTCGTCGTTTTCGAAGTATGCTGGGTTCACAGGAGTTCGTTTAGGGTGGACTGCAATTCCCAAAGTGCTCCTATATTCTGATGGATTTCCTGTAGCAAAAGACTTCAATCGCATTGTTTGTACAAGCTTCAATGGTGCATCCAATATCGCTCAAGCTGGCGGCCTGGCTTGCCTTTCACCTGATGGTTTCAAGGTCAGTTTCAACATTTGGTTGTCGTCTCCCTGTTCACTTAATAAAAAAATAACATCATTTAATAGGCTCAAGGTCTCAACTTGAACATGCTGACTTTTGCATTTCAGGCCATGAAGGACGTGGTTAGTTTCTATAAAGAAAACACAGAAATCATAATGGAGACATTTAAGTCACTAGGTTACAAGGTGTATGGAGGTAAAAATGCACCCTACGTGTGGGTTCACTTCCCTGGACGAAGCTCATGGGAGGTTTTCAGCGAGATACTTGAGAAGACTCATGTTGTTACCACACCAGGCAGTGGTTTTGGACCGGGCGGTGAAGGTTTTGTCAGAGTAAGTGCTTTTGGGCACCGGGAGAATGTCGTAGAAGCTTGCAGAAGATTCAAGGAATTGTACAAGTGAAGTAACTCGTATGCCTGCATATCTATGTGAAAACATGCAGGTAAATGGGAAACACTTTTTGCCTTCAGTGGCTTCATTCAGATGGCTGTATCTTGAATACTCAACATTCTGATCCTGTGTTGCTTTGGAAGAACAAGCTTATTCTGTAATTGCCACTTGCCAGTGATTGGTTCCTCCTTGTTATGTCTTGTCAAGATTAGATTCATGTACACATAATGGACACTGATCATGAATTTAAAGGGAAGGAATAGTTGAAACAAAATAACAGGTTTTCACGTGTTGAAATTGATAATGTTTGAGCAAACATCACGCTGCCGGAGCAAAGTATGAATGTTAAAGCACAAAGTACAAACCACCAAAAGCATGAATTGCCAGCTTTTCATATTAGATTTCTGGATGCCTTTCTGCAAAAAATATATATATAATAAGGGATAGGTAGTTGATCAAAATAAGTTAAAGATGAAACCAGCAATATTGACTCTTGAAGCTAAAGAGTAAAGTGTCTGGCCATGTTAGCTTTGCTATTCGTGCTATGTTTTGTTCATCTCAAGTTAGTCATGAGTTTATGGTCTGTGAACTGACAATGTGAAGATTTTTTACACTATTGTTAGGTGAATCCATAATAACCGGTAACTTTTCGTATCTAAGTTTGATATGATAACTTGTAAGTAATTTGTTATAGCCAGTTAAATTATGCTAATAGTGTAGATTTTGTTTCACCTGATAGTGTATATAATTTCAACTATTCTGTCATTTTCTTAAAATTTCTGGTGAAAGAAAGGGAAAAATAACATTCTTTCTATTTTACTGTTAGCCCAATATCAGTATCCTGTCTAGGCCACCCATAGCTTTCAAATCAGTTTGAGTATCACTATTTTGAATCCATTAAACTGAACTATATCATCAAATAAGGGAAGGTAGAAAGTTACTGAATAAAGCAGTATCAGTAATCCAAGCTTTTGTTTAGGAAAAGCCAATAAGTCGAAATAGGTGTGGAAAACGAAAGATGTAAGAAGCCATTTTATGTGAAGGACATAAAATAAATATAAGCTATAATGTAAGAAGCCATTTTATGTTAAGGACAGCAAAATAAATGCATAAATTATTATAATGCCCCCACGCAGGATCGAACTACGGACCTTCAGTTTACAAGACTGACGCTCTACCACTGAGCTATAGGGGCTTTGTGTCTGTATCTGCAAATACAATAATAATATAATATATTAAAACGAAAGCTGCTTCTCCTTTTTATTAAATAAGGTATGCAAATTGCAAAGATTGACAAACTTATTACACGTCTAATTGAACCCTTCTTCCTGAAAACCATGTTCTTAACCTTACTTTCTTGTTATGTATTAAACTTTAAAAACTTATGAAAGTTACTTAAATTAGTTGTAGACCACCATAAAAATTCGACTTATTCCTAATCAAATAATAGCATGTTTGGCCAAGCTTCTAAAAACTGTTTATTTTGATTACTGCTTTTCAAAAAAGTACTTTTGGTAAAAATCAATTTGTGTTCGGCTAATCAATTTGAAAAATACTTTTGAGCAACAATTAGTGTTTGACCAAACTTTTAAAAAATGCTTCTAAGTGTATTTTTCTCAAAAGTATTTTTCAAAAAAGTGTTTCTAGGGAGAAACTACTTTTTTCTGTTTCTCAAAAATTATTTCCGCTTCTACTCAAAAGCATTTTTTTTCCTTCAAAAAGCTTAGTCAAACATCTTAACTTTAGAAAAAAAAAATACTTTTGACAAAAAAACACCTTTGATCAAGAAAAAAGCTTGGCCAAACCGGCTATAAGTAAGTTATAAAATATTTAGAAGAGCAGCTAGTTCAAGTTAGTGGTCCCTCTTAATTGAACGAATGGTGGTCTACCAAATCCCTCCCTTGGCAACAACCACCATAAACTACAATGAATATATACTTAGAAAACTTTGTTGATGCCACAAAAGTAGAAGTGAAAGAGAAACAAAGGGGTCAAAGTGTTAATAAACAAATTTGGATTTTTTTGGCCATAGAGATAGAAGATAGTGATAGAGAGTATCCAAACTCAGCCATAACTAGCCAATCTCATTCAAGCACTATATTTCCTTTGATTACTTACTTTCTTTCACTCTCACTCATTTCTTATCTCATCCCCCCCTCTTTTCCCTCCTACCCCCACCCCTTCACCCTCTCTCTCCATATTCTTATATCTTAACTAAAATGTACCACATTTTTTTTCAAGAATTCACTTCTTCCTTGAAAGTTGAAACTATCTCACTCTCAAGAAAATGGCAACTAATTCTTTCAAGTCCATTCATCAACACCATACATTAAGGAGAAGGCATTCTATTGATTGCCCTTTTTCTTCCTCTTCTTTTTTCCTCAAGCCAATNTTCAAGAATCTGACCTCAAAGAAATTGATTCCCTTTGGAGAAAATACAGTGACAACAAATTTGGGTACAGTGTTCAAAAGAAAATATGGAACAAAGTGAACAGAGATTTCACTAGTTTCTTTATTAAAGTTGGGTGGATGAAGAAACTAGAAAGCACTGAAGTAGACCAATATAATTACAGGGCATTTCCAAATGAATTTATTTGGGAATTAAATGAGGAAACTCCAGAAGGACATTTGCCATTAACAAATGCACTAAGAGGAACACAACTTTTGAGTAGCATTTTTACTCATCCTGCTTTTGTTGAAGAAGGAGAAGAAGAGAAAGAAGAGGAAAAACAGGCAAGTATTTCTGGGGAAGATAAAGGAAGTGTGAAGAAAGGAGGATTGTTGGGTGGTTTGAGGAGTAAATTATTTGGTAAACCAGATTACAGCTTTTGAATTTGAAATGTAATTTGACTCTATTTGTAAAAGTGATTATTAATCAGTACACAAAAACAGTAGTAACATTATGTGATAAAAAATGAAATTATTAGAGCTTTATAAAATGTGTTCTTATGAAAAATGCATCAGTTGGAGGTTCTTCTTCTAGTTTTTTATTTTTATTTTTATTTTTGGGGTTTAATGTGCTTGTATCACATGGTTCATTGACGGTGCTGATTGACTGAATTTTCTTCATTGCCTTCTCATCTAATTTTGGCATTGTTATGTGTCACGGTTCATCGTTGAAGCCTGCGTGTCCTTGCTGTTTTTCCCAAACCTTATATAAATGTGAGATGTTTTGTGCATAAATCAGCCTTTTTATGTGTCATGGTTTTGCGTTTGAAATATAGTGAGCGTTTGGACATAAGAATTGTAAAATTTCAAAATAGGGAGAAAAAAATTTTCTAAGCGAAAATGATATTTGAAATTTAGAGTTGTGTTTGAACATGAATATAATTTTGGGTTGTTTTTGAAGTTTTGCGAGTGATTTGAGTGAAAATTTTGAAAAATAACTTTTTGGAGTTTTTCAAAACAAACGGTGATTTCGAAAAAAGTGAATTGTTTTTGAAAAAAAGGGGAAAAATTTCTTGCTCTTAGTATTCATCTTTGAAATGGAAAAGACAACGGAACGAAGTTGAAAGAATTTGGCCTGTATGCACTTTTTAAGAATATTTTCTCTTCTGTTATACGGCATGTAATATTACAATATACAAGTAGCAGCAAGGCTCCTTTAGGTTATTTGGTGATTGTTTTATGATATGATTAAGAATGAAAAGGAAAAATTATACAATTAATAATAATATAAGAATCGTAATGCCTTGAAGGATTGAATAATAATACAGAGAATTATGTAAGCATTGCCTTTTTTTATATTTTATATTGTTAGTACATGTATTCTTATTTTATATTTTTCTGCATCAAATAAAATATGAATTGCACCATAACATAATTCGGGTGTTATTTAATATGCTAACCGATACTACATTAGTTTTTCGGGGATAATGGTTGTGAAAATGTTTGGTGTGTAAAAGTTTTCCGTTTAGATGGGGTGTGTTAAAGGAATTTCAGTATATTCTAATATAATAACCATAATATTCGGATCAAATTCCGCGCACATCTACAACAACTGCTGCCCAGAACAAGCACAAATAGTGGATTAAAAAGATCATCTACCATTTTTTGTACTCTCTCAGATCAACTATAATTTTCATCCCAATAATTCTTGGTTACACGTTTTGGTGCAAAAAAGAAGATATATTAACAAGGATTTTTACGAACTTGCTGTTAATTTTTTTTTTAATAAGTGACTTTTGCTAGTTCAATTTCAACATTAATTTTTTAAACAAAATCTTGTAAATTCTACGGCAAATAGTATAACGAGGGATATTTTTAGATCATATTCGAAAATAGAGAAGTATATTTGACCCTTTGTCGTAAATTCTATCATTACTCTGTTTAACAAAAAATAGCTTTGTACTATATGTTGACCCCTTCGATTAGACAATTACAGAACACATATAGGAGTAGGAAACAATTACAGAACACCTATGGCACTACGACAAAGATAATAAATTAATCTGGCGACACTAGAAATTCGCACCTCTTTGTATTTTTTCGCTTATTCATTCCATTAACTTGTCTTTTTTAGCTTTGAGGTGTTGGGAATAGTTCTTTGTTTGCTCATTGCTACAAAGATTCAACGACAAGTTTAAGTTAGTCACACTTTCATTTTATTGTTATCTCAATTTCAAAAACAATGATGGAACTTGTGACTTGTAACTTTATTTTTTATCTTAACAAAGAATTTATACACAATGCTATAATTAAGTTATAATTTGCTATGTTCTTTGAAATATGGGAAAACATGTAAGTAACAGGTCACTTTTTTTTTAATTATAATATAAGAAATAGAATGCAAATATGGATAAAGTTGTCCGAAATGATTGGCTAAGTTGGTAAGGCGAGTAGTTTCCACGTGGAAGACCTAGAATCAATTCTCCTCATCATGAACCTCCTCAGTTAGAGTTCATCGCACCAGGCTTGCATAGGGTAGCCGCTAAGAGTTTCCTCAGAATTTTCAAAAATAAAAAAAATGGATAAAGGTAAAAGTAATCAACTTTAACATTCTGAATACTATCCTGAATATATTCCCTTTCTGAATTTTTTTAATATATAAATAAATTCATAAAGAAATCTGAATACCGAACCCGTTATAAGTTTCTCATCTGTTAATTTACTTACTTATTTGGGCATCCCATGGTCATTTTGCTGACAACTAAAGGGAAAACTGAATTTGTTATTCTTGATTTTTCTCTTCAAGCACATTGTTATACTTGATTTTTCTGTTCGTTTGGAACTGAGACGCAACAATATTTTGTGTGCTCAAATTTGCAAAACCGTAAAGATGTAATTAAATTCATATCCTGTGCTTTTCATTAATCAAAATAGAGTTGTTCTTAGGGGTAGAAATGTAGTGTATAATCTCCTTATAAGTCAATTCCTAATAATATTTGCTTCATCGTATTCGTTTCAGCGATACCAGTGCTTTTTAAGTTGGGAGTCCATTTGGGAGCTTGTGATTTGCCAAATTAAGTGATGGCCCTCAGTGCCTTTGAAGAGCATTTTTTTCAATCATGCTTCAGTAGTAGGGCTATTTTTTCACTAATACAACTGCTACGGATCGTCAGAAATCCAAGCAACGCTATACAGATTTATGTATGGTGTTTACGAGATGACCTTAACCCCCTCTAAGTGCTATGGGAACTTGGGTACATAATGGTGATCTTACTTAATAGTGACCATTAATCTTGGTCAACTGTTCAAAATCTTCTAATATAGGCAGATCACTAAATTTGTGAAAGAACCACCAAAAGATGTCATATAGAAATGTGTATTGCAGACAACAATCCTCTCTAGTTTACAAACTAGCTCAAGCATTTATCTCTAGCACAAAAACGGCTAATCAATTCTCTTCAACACCTCGCTACCATGACAAATATAGATGGAGCTTTCATACCCGCCAGTCCATAGACTACATGGAAATATAAGCAAGAAACTAGACCTAGTGACTCCTATATCAAACATCTGTGACTTATATTTTACAATTTAGTTCTCTTCGCAGCTAGAAGCACACTAGCACCATTTATTAGACAGGCAACACTGCCTGTAATACTAACTCATATATCAACAACTCCACATGCAGACACCATATGGCATGGTAGATACAAATTGGCACTAGAAGAGCAACAAATTTACTCCATCACAACAATCATCCTATTTAAGTGCACTTCCAGCATATACCAAATCTTTGACACCGCACAATGACAAAACAACTAATTGATCAAATAAATAACATGGAGAACTATACACACAGCAGTCAAGTAGGAAATGATATATTTGGTATCTGTTGAGAACAAAGCTTGGAATGTAAGGGTTATCGAGGCCTGATGTAAAGGTGCACCCACTATAGAGGATTAGAAGTGCTTAGAAACTATGTGACTAACTGACTAAGCAAGTATTTCAACATTATATTCAGGGTTAGAAAGGTACCATATAAATGAAGAAATAGTAAATCCTGATGTATATATAAACGGAGATATTCAGAGTTATAATTACTTAAGACCTATGAATCATACAATAAAACCTAAAGATAGTGTGCAAACCTAAGGACGCGCAAGGGTAAAGGGGACAAGTTGGATATATACCCCATATACCAGGCAGATCTACAACATATGCTATATTTTCACGAAGAAACTTCACAAAGAATTGTAGGAGAGGAAAAAGGATCTCCACAAAATTTCCTTGATGTGTCAAAAATAGCTTAACTAGGGGGTAGATGTAAGGTCTGTGTACACTCTACACTCCCCAGACCCCACTTGTGGGATTTTATTGGGTTGTTGTGTCAAAAAAAAACCTTTGTGAATTCTTGAGAAAAAGGATGCACATCAATGAAGTGCCAACGAGTGCGAGGGAAACAGTAAGAGATACGTAAGAGTTCCCACAATCTGAGTTTACACGAGGATAAACCTTAACAATATACCAGTTTACCCAATCACGGATGAGCTATGTACACAAGATAAAGTTTCAGGGTACATGCTGCTTGTCAATTATAAAAATGATCAGGAATAGTCAAAAACTATATACGAAGAATCACGCCAGTAAGAAACCAAGGATAGTAGAATAAGTTGGGAGTAAGAAAAATTACAAGTTTAGCCCACATAAGTATAATGGAGATGAAGTGAGTTGGACAAGATTGAGATGTCTAGCTCAATAAATTAGTGGTAACTTAACAAAGGACGAAGGTGGGCCCAAAAGTGGAGAAATGCTATGACTTTCAAGGGTGAATTGAATATTGGAAATAGCCTGTCCAAGGATGAGGTAAAGTTGTCTACACTATGTCTTCCCCACAGCTCGCCTGAGCAGGAGCCGTGCACTTGGATCTGACTTTGTACTAACAATGACAAAACTAAATGGAAGCAAACCATCCATAGAGATAAGAAAACTAGAAAGACAAATCATTTTGTGTTTGAAGGAAATGGTGCCAATAGAATGAAATGAATAAGGATTCCAATAGCAAAACAGCCAAAGCTCAGCTAGTGTAGGAGCGACACATCGTAGAAATAACCAAACCACTAGCTTAAATTGTGATTACAAATAAGTGGCAGCAGTACTGGTAAAACTCACGGAGTAGTTTTTAGAACACAAGCAGCACATGTGCACTTAGTATAACAATCCAGAAGCGACCACACACTATAAGAAAAACAATCACATACAATATATAAAATAGACACATCAAGAAACCATTAGAGTAATTATAAGCAGATCTAGTAATTTTTCATAAATAAAGCAGTGCAAAGACAAAAACAGACTAAATGTAGCATAATGATAAAAACATTATCCATCACTCCTTTACCACTACAAATATTACCATATTCATCAAAATCTCAGTCAATCTTAATCATACGAGATCAAAATTACCAGCAGTGCAAGGACCAAAACATCCCACGCTCAGAACCTAAGCTTAGTGAAGAACCAACGATTTTTCCCAGTCTTGAACCTCTCCTCAAGCCTAGCTTTCGCCTCCTTAGCAGCAGTAACCTTCT